AGGAAAGAATGTAGCAGAAATAATAAGAATTATAGAAGTTTAAATATCACATAGTAATAATTAGAATATATTATGAGAAGTTATAATTAGTGACAAATATTATATATCACATAGCAAATAATTAGTTTATTCATCACTGGAAATAACTATTCATCACTTTTACTATGTAAATTTATTATATAAACCCTTTAAATATCTCCAAAGAACTCATATTTGATTTTTCTAATTCCAAATAAAAAAAAATAACACAGGTAAAACGAAGTTCAATCAGGTATCTTTCCGATTGATAACTTTTTTTTATCAGTAATCTGATTTGTTTAATAGTAATCAACCAGTTAACAATTCAATTGAGTATCAATCAGATATCAGCTTAATTGATTACTGCAGGTAAAATAAATTCTGATCAGTAATCATGCTGATTGATATATCTTTTATCTATCGGATTGGTTGAGTATTAAATTGATATCAATCAGTTATGTGAAGCAAATCAGGTATTAATAGGTTAATATCCTGATTTAACTTATCTATTTATTTATATTTATACAATAGGTTTAAATATATATCCGATTTGTTACAGTAATAAAAAAAGGATAAACCAGACCATTTTCTGATTAATTTTAAATAAAAATATAGGCATAAATCAGTTAATAATTATTGGTTTTATTTATTCTTTTAATTACTACCTGATTTGTACCTAATTTATACCTTCTGAAATAACAGATTAATAATAAAATAACTAGAAAACAATCAGCTTATAATTCTATTAAAATCTTTTGATAATTTACCACAGTAATGATCAATTTTATTTTGCATTTTTTTATATTAACAGCCAATAATAATGTATAAACTATGTATTTTTTAAATGCCGATCATACATGAAAGTGTCTACCAATTGGGATTATAGTCATATATGTAACAGACTTCTGACCTACTACAAATTTACTAGGAATAAATCTACTATAAATATTATGAATCAGTATAATACTATCCCTGTCGATAACATAAAATTTGTTTTCCTAAAGCTCTATATTGCAAGTATTGATATCATCATCAACTGTGCAATAAAACCTTTTTTGATGGTTAATTGTCAGTGTATACCATTTAACAAAGGCCAAGTTATAGGTCTGTTTTCTATTTGAGAGGTTGACTTCATGCTTAAAGTAATATTGTACTTGACCAGAAAATACATCGGTCATATTATTATTTTGAAAAAATTTTGTAAGAATGAACAAATTCTTATGATAATGAGGGTAATTTGCTGATCTGAAAATTTTAGCACTAATATGAATTTGTTCAAACTGATTAATTATTGGCCAAATAATAATTGGATGTCTGAACCTTCTTTTTATTGATCTGGCTATAGTAACAAATTCCAATTCGTATATATTGTTGTAATAATTTACCAAAAAATCATATATGTCATTTGGTAGATTTACATCAAGTTTTTTGGTATCATCATCTCCCCAGGAAATATTTCACTACCGGTTATAGTATCTTTAACTTTAAGCCTGTAAATTAACCTAAATCGGTATAATTCATCAAATTTAAAGTTATCATATGCTGACAGGCTTCCTGTTGTTAGCCGGGATTTTACCAATTGTAATCCTTTGATCAGCTTTGAATTATTTGATTGATTGGATATTAGATCATCTAACTACCAGTTTTACATAATAATCTGCAATAATTTTGACTCAATTTGAAGATGAGAATTCGAAAATGATCCTGTTAATAAAGCTGATTAGTATTCATTTTATAATAAGAATTAATGCAATACAAAAAATTAAATCACGTGATTATAATAAATTACCTAATATTCTATTCATTCTTTTGAACAAATAACACCAAAATGCATATAAAGGACCATAATCCTGATAGCATTCTGAAATATGTAGCGATAAGTGGATATTTGATGTAATTATTACTGGCCCATAATTATCTTCGATTAATTGAACAACTTTTAATAACTAGCTATGTGCTTCATTTAATCCATTTTCATCAACAATTTGTGATACTAGCAAGTAACATGCTCTAACAAAGTTGGCTAAAATTTTCTGATCAGAACCATCCAATAAATCCCACATTAATGAAGTCACATAAATTAATATAAATAATTTTCATTGATTTGCTTTGAATCTAGAAATTCCTTCTTCAGTTGATATCTTAAAAGGAACTCTTCCTAAATTAGCTAGAATTTTAATATTTTTTGTACAGGATTCCATTGTTTCTAGATGAGATTTAGTTAGTTTTCCATGATCATTCTATAACTTTTTAACAATCCAGTAAGCAATTCCTAGAAATAGACAGTGCATCAGATCTACAATTAGATGCCTAATTGAATTATGATAGGGCAATTGAAGCATTTCAGACCACCTTACGTAAGTAGTTCTAATATGCTCTTTTCTATCCTCTTTAGTTAGTTTATGTTTCCAGAGAATTGCACTATGCTGATGCTCTTCTAAGTCTCGCATTCTAAACCAATTGAATATGTCTTCAAATCTTCTGAAATTTGCTCTTTTTCCATTTTTACTACTAGCTCACTTATAACATCTATGGCAACTAACTAATACCAATATATGTCCACATAACTTTCTTGCAGTAGAAATATCATTACTGCAGCAAATTACAGCCAATCGGATTCTCTTTTCTGTTGGATTCATTTTTGTTACCAGTAAATCAATCCCATTCCATAATTCTGGTAATTCATTAACAACCGACCGCAGATAATTATTAATTTAGTGTAATTTAACTTCTTGAGATCCCAGTAATAATGCTAAAGTAAGCATGTTTTTTTTGAATCTTATATCACAGGGAAGGTTGCAAATTACATTATAAATTGGGGTGAGTGCTGGGAAAAAGGACCAAATCAACAAAAAAATTTTTTTGAAATAACAAATGATCTGAATCAGATGACCAAATCTACATCTATTTTACTTAGGAACTTTTTTTTAAAAAAAAAATCAATTTGGTCCATTTTCCCAGCACTCACCCCAATTGCTCCACAACTATAGATTGACGATTCAAATAGTTGAAACCAATCCAAATTAATTATAATTCCAAGATTTGAATCTGCAATTCCAGCTGTAAAAAATTTAGAATCTGATATATCTAAATCAGATAGAAACTTTTTCATATTTCACTATCATAGATATCTGACATTACTCAAGTTACATCCCGCTCTGTCTATTTTTTTAACATTTCTTCAAATTCCGGTCGTTCGTATATAGTCGCCAATTGGGTCTTTAAATATGATAGTAGATATGTCATTTTTGGCTTCCAAATATATCTATTCATTACTAGTACTCTTATTAACAGTTCTATACCGCAAGGTTCACATTGATTTTACATAGGATGGTTTAGAAATTCCATATAGTCACATTTGAATTCAGAAAATCTGCTATTATTCTGATCACTTGGAAGAATATTTGCAACATTATATAACTTGTTGCATTCAGGACATATAGCATACGTTTTGGATTTCCTCTTAATATCTAAAAATTTTTGTGCTATATATGCAGTTGAAGAGAATTCATTGAATCTTTACGAATCTGCATCCTTCAAGATAATATGAAAAAAACCAATCAAAGAATTGATCGCAACTTTAGAAAGTCTAAATCTTTCTTGAAATTTGAAGGCCTAAAGCAAAATCTATGAATCGTCGAATTTGATTTCTTTGCTCAGATTTTCAAAATCTAAATCATCAAATTCGTTAATATTAACCAAAATTTCTTCATTAATAAATTGGTCAGTTTTTGATTGATAACTTTCATCTTCATTATCGTTATTATTATTATTATGTGATTGTTCAATATCTTCTTCATCACTAGACAAATTATCTGGTTTGTTGTGTTCTTCTTCTGTAATAATGAGATGATCACAAGGTTTGATGAACTGATTGTATCTTCTTCGTTTCTTTTTTACAACAGGTTCCAAATCTGAATTGTCTATTTCCTCATCAGATACAAAACAATCATTCCCAATCATTGGAACGTAATTGTCATAAGACTGGTAAGATTGTTGAATTGATCTAGCATCTATTAGTCAACTTTCTACAGCATCAGATCTTGAATTTCTTGACTGGGTATTATAAGTCAGATTTTGCTTTATTTTCTTTTTTCTATTTTATGTTAATTTACCATACTTTCTTGTAGCCATTGCTCTTCAACTTCATGCACTTTTCTCATTCTTGTCTAAACCCAAGTATCATTGCATTTCATACAATAGCATTGGACTATAGGCTTGAGCTTTATTGAATAAGTAGATGTAAGTAATTTATATTGAACTGATTGCTTTCTTGTTTGTTTAGGCATTTTTACAAGAGGTTAGTATAAAGTTAAAAATGCATATATATACTCTTATATTGTTTATATAGTTTAATATAGTTTAAATAATTACGTGTCACATGTTATTTTCATCCATTCTGTAAAATAAATTATACTATTTGTAGTTAACCATAATGAAATCATTCAATTTTATTAATAAAATATACTATTGTATCTAAAAGTTTATTGATGATTAAACTATTAATCTAACAGAAATAGTATAAAAATGCTCTTTATCCTTCTTTCCAATTTTTTCTTTGCTTTCACTTCAATTCAACTCTTTCACACCCGATTATATACTATGAATAATTCTAAGAAAAAAATAAACACCTAGATCGTGAATGGTATAAAGAATATATGAACAATCAGTAAATAGGAACCAGTTATAAACACGCTCTTCGCGTTCTTCTAAAAAAAATAAAAAATATACTGTACAGATAAATACATCAAGTACTGTAAATGATAATAAATTATAATTGGTTCAGTATAATAGTTAATAAGAATATTTTTACAAAATCATTAATATTTTCTTATAAAATGGTTACAGTAAACAGAAAAAATCTCATCATCATTATTGATTTCCATCTTACGATTTATCTGATTTCTTAGAATTAGACAATTAATTTTTTTCATTTGAAGAATGTCCGGTAAAAAAATGACATTATAAAAGATTAGGAAAGGATGACAAGAAAGGTAAATAATGTATTCTTAATTATCTGATCATAATTAAAATTTGATCAATGATTTAATTTTTTCCAATAAAGGCATTAAATGAGCAAATAAAATTCTTAAAAGAACGTCTAGAAAGAATTGAAAAGAGAAAGGATAGGAAGATTGATCCAATAGAATGTATATTAACAGCAGAAAATAGTAATAAAGTTTGGGTGGTGATTTCTCCGATTATGATCATGAAAATTTGACAAAATTAGATACTAGTTTATCAAAAATTACTGATTATAATAAAGCATCAAAATCTAAGGCCCTGTCTAGGTCTCCATTCAGAACTGCATCCAATAAAAATGATGTTCAAAGTAATAAAAGTAAAAAGGACCACTTTCACCTTATTACTCCAGATTTTCTTACAGAAGATGTTAACGATAATAGATCCATCACAAGCGTTATACTAAATCATAATAAAAAAAGAAAGCCTTAACGATCTGTTTTGCCTATATTGGCTAAAAGTAGTTTTGATGAAAGTAGTTTAGACGATTCTGATTCTGAATGAGAAATGGGAATATCAAAATACTTATGTTTTGAAAATATGCTGAAAGACTTACAACAAGCTTTAAGGGTAGTGTTACCCAACTATTGATTAGGCGGACTGAAACACATAATCAATTGAGTAGCAGCAAGATTTAGCTCAATCTTTAATAAGTTTTGGGAGAGACTTTGGTTGATTCAGGCTATTGTTGACTTCGGTATTCTATCACGATTAAGTTTCAGAATTGGCAAGTGTGACGACTTCCAATCCTCCACGTAAGACA